ACCCCTTGCCCAACCCGGACCTCCCAAAACTTTTGTACAATGTGAGAGATGTGCCCAACTACTATTTCCCACACCTCCTCCCACCACATCTACAAGAACCCCAAGCCGAAGCACACCCTGAGAATGAGCCCGAAGCCAATCATCAGGAACCCGAGGCCATACATGAGCACATCCCCGAACAGCCCCAAGGTCACCTACCTCCCGACTATTTCCAACAACTACTTGATGGTTTCAACAAGGTGACCAACGAAGTTGGACGATATAGGGAGGAACAAAGTGCAGGATTTCGAAGATTAGAAGAACAACGGGCAGAGGATAACCGAAGGTATGAGGAAGACCAACGTAGGTTCTATGGACCTATGTACTCTTACATGGCTCATCAAGGCCAATTTCATACTATGGCTCAGCCACCCCCACCCCCCTCTTGGTATGACCCCACTCAATGGGGTAATTTTGGAGGATCTAGCTCCGGGGGTGGAGGTTTTGATGGAGGGGATGATGGCGGCGACACCCACATGGGCGATGGGAGCTTTGGAGGAGGCTTTGGAAGCGGCTTTGGAGGCAGCTTCTACGGCGGAGAAGGCGGGCACTAGGGACAGTGCTTCAACTAAGTGTGGGGGAGGAGATTACTCATGGTATGTAATTTCATTTTCTACCTTTTACTATGCATGAATTTCTTTTACCCTTTGTAAACAAAAAAAAAAAAAAGGAAGAAGAGAAAAATGGATAAAAGAATTGAAATGCTAGTTAGGTTGAAAACCCAAAAATGGGCAATCTAAGCAAAAAAATGGCTTATAAAAAAAATGAAATGAGTGAGTTAGTAAGGATGGAAAAACAAAAAGAGATGCTAGGATGAAAACCTGAAAAGGCTCCTAGGCAAAATGAGAGATATGAGAGAAATATTTGTTGTGTGCAGGAACTCATTTGATCTCTTGAGGAGAAAAGAAGAGAAGGCAAAGAAGAAGAGGCAAGAAGATGGAGCATAGAAGATCATAAAACCCAAGAAAAAAAAGTTGTTTGTAAAAATCATTTTCTTATTTCTTGGTGATCTTCGTTCATTTATTTCTTGAACTCATGGAATGGTCTTAAACTGTTTGAACATTTGACTTTACTCGAGGACGAGTAAAGAACTAAGTGTGGGGGAGTTGATACGTTTGTAATTTCCGTATGTTTATTTACGCTTTTAGTTAGTTTTGATTGTTTAATATTTCGGAAATTACACACTTTCGGTGTAATAGTTTAGTTTGTTAAATTCTTGTAATTTGTTTAGATTAGGTTTATTCTGAGCTTAAACAGGTCCAAGATCAATCAAATGATCAATGGTGAAGGAAGGTGCAAGAGTACAAGACAAAAAGAAGGAAAAATCCTGATTTTGGTCTACACTCGATCGAGTATATACATATACTCGATCGGGTATCTGGTTGACATTTCAAATCGGATCGGATCTGAAAACAAAGGAACATGCAGGAGAAGATTTTCCCACGTTCGAGTGTCTATACCCGATCGGGTATGCTTATATACTCGATCGGGTATGCATATAAAATCTACTCGAGTATTGATCGAGTATTGACCAAATTCTGATTTCTATACATACTCGATCGAGTATGTATACATACTCGATCGAGTACTCGATCCTGCACCTCAAAAAGCCTATAAATACACCCCCTTTCCTTCACTTTTAGAGACCAATTCACATATACTTCTTAGCTCAGTTTAGACAAGTTCTTTCTTTATATTTTTCATCATGTTTAGTCTCCAAATGAGGAGCTAAACTCTTCCATCTTGGTTTTGCTACTTTGAAGCTTAATGAATTTGTAAGTTGTGAGTTATTCTCTTTAATCTTCTTCCTTGAATATTAATTTTTCCTTTAAATACTATTTCTATATCAATGTTGGGGAGTGTTACTAAGATGACAATTAGTTAACATCTTGACATTAGTTATAGTAATAATTATTTCTTCCTCTACGTTGATATTGGGGAGTGTTACTAAGATGACAATTAGTTAACATCTTGATATTAACTATAGTAGGATTCATCTTCTTTAATATTCTTTCTTGAGTATTAATTAATTCCTATTTATATTTCATATTAATATTTTGAACATTACTTAAAGGATCAACTAGTTTTGTTTCATATATTAATTAATACTAGAATCGGTCGATTAATACGCTTGTTATTAATTCGGTCCTTTCATGGTAGTAAACTTGGATTATTAATGCATGCATCTCATGGTTAATAATCTAAGGGGAATTAATTATATTAATTTATCCATTAAGAAATAATTATTACTATAACTAATGTCAAGACATATCTATTTACTAATTATTACTATAACTAATGCCGGACATATCTAGGTTGTCAGCCGGACATAGCATCCTAAATATGGCCTTATTTGACATTTTTTCCAAGTTCGAGGCCCTATCTGACCCTTGTCCCTAAAAATATCAAAATGCTAAAAAATCACAATGCCAAGAAAAATCATACAATTTCAAACATTACCACTTAAACATTAACAAAATAAACAATTTCTCAATTTTGCAAATATTGTCAAAATGTATGAAAGCATCACAATGTCAAAAAAATGTCACAACTCCGTATAATGATGATGTCAATGTTATAAAAATGACATTATAATGACAACAATGAAAATGACATTGTCGTGGCAATGTCAATGAAAATATCGTGACAATGCCAATGTTAGAAAAATGACATTGTGAAAAACAATGCCAATGTGACATTATTGTAAACATTGTTAAAAAGAAATAATTCTAAAAATGTTAATAATGTCACTATATGACATTGTTAACAATGTCATTATATGACATTGTCATAATTAAAAGGTACTCCGTAGAAAATATGTCAACGTTACTATAAAATCACATGATTAATTGAGTATATACATAATCAGCCCATCTGCGCATGTAATTTAAGTAAATTGCCCAAAACTCTTCTCAACTAAAAAATGCAAAACAGGGACAATTTTCATGTAGGCATTTCATCAAATAGTACTAGTGCAAAAAAACTCACTGATTCATACATACATTAAAATGGAATAACTATTCTCTACACCAAGTGTGAGTAAATTTTGTAAATGAAATACAAGTACTATCGTACAACTATTGTATTGTCTATTCCAAATTTGATGGTGTTAATCAAATACAAATCAAATGCAAAACTAGGGAAAGTAAAAACAAAGAAAACGGTTGTGGCATGAAGAGAATAGAAATATCAAAAGAAAGTAAGGACACAGGTAGGATCGATTGCAGATCCACGAAGAAAGGTGCACAAGGAAAGTAGGAAAATAAATTGAGTAGCTCCGATCAATCCCAGATGCACCGAACTGATAGAAGGATTGATTACAGATTACCACGCCACCGTACCTATTCCGTTGTGATGACCGGCGACAGGGGGTCTTCTCTTTACTGCTACTCAGTTAATAATCTGTGTTCTTAATTTTCAAAGCTGCAGCGCCACAGCCCTCCTATTCTATTTTTTCCGCTTCACTCCTCTGCTTCGTTGGGAGGAGGAAGATAGATTGGCGTAGAAAAAGGTTGTCGAGAAGAGGAGGACTATCGTGATAGGAGGAAGAGATATGAGCGGGGTAAATAAGTCTGACCATACTAAATGAGTCCTATTTACGGATTAAAAAGAAGTGAGTAGGGCTGGGACCGCTTCGGTGCTTATTCAAAATGAGTGGAACCGTTATAAAAGTTTTAATTAATGAAATCGGTTCGGTTTCTATATAAAAAATCAAGAACCGTTATGGAACCGAACCGGTAGTAAACGGTTCGGTTCTTCCTTTTACCGGTTCCTAGAATAATTTTTTCTTGTCTAAGAATTAACACATAATTTTAAACACGTCGAAAATTCAAAACACGAGTATTAAAATTTTATTTGAAACTCTAATCACTTCAAACATCAAAGCTCAAACTTAACTAATGAACTTTGAACACTTAATAGAACAAAAGTGATTTAAATTTTCATGTAATAAATGAAATTAAACATTAAAAATCGTTGTAGTGTCGGAGCGACGAAGGTTACTCGTCATCATAGTAGCGAGAATAGGACGCCTACTTCAAGTCTTTCAAAACATAAAAAAAGACATTGAGGTTGCATGTATAGATATAAAAAACATTATTACATTCTATTGATTCATAATAAATCTAATAATTAGAAATATCATGAAAATAGTAAAGTAAAATATGTGCAATCAACTACAAGTTATTTGGGTTATTTTATATTTATAAAATTTATGTGATGGAACAAAACTTGATTTGTAGAAAGGAGTTTAATGTATTATATCAACCTCATGTACAATATTTATTACTTCTTTTCCGTTGATTAAATTAGAATTGTTAGTTAAATATCTTATATTATTTTATTATTGTTGTTGTGGTGGTGGTTATTATTGCTATTATATTATTATTATTATTATTATTATTATTATTATTATTGTTGATGTTGTTGTTGTTACTACTACTACTACTAATATTATTTTATTTTTTATTTTTTTTTAATAACGGTTCCTTAACTGTTCCATGCACATATTTTTATAGGAACCGGGAACCGAACAGTTATAACCCGCTTCGGTTCGGTTCCTACAAATGAGACATTAATTGTTAACGGTTCGGTTCCTAGATGTTGTTAACGGTTCGGTTCCAATCGGTTCTACGGTTCCCGGTTCCAAAATCCCACCCCTAGAAGTGAGTCCTATTTAGTTACACAAACTTAATTTTAGTCCTATTCTACACCATTTCTCACCATTCATATGATTGGACCACATCACATTATCATTTTAATTTAGATTTAAATAATTCAACAGCTACATTCTCATTGGTCCATGTGGACAAAGGTATGGTATATTTTGAATACCATAGAATCTACTTTAAAATAGAGAATTTTCCCTAAATAGGACTAAAAACGTTTATAAATTCCAAAATGGGACTATCATGCTTTTAATTCCCAAAATGGGACTAATTACTGTCATGTTTTGGCAGTACCAGACTTTAAAATAGTAATTACTCCTATTTTGGGAATAAAAACATGACAATCCTATTTTGAAATTTACATACGTTTTTGGTCCCATTTCAAGAACTTTCCCATTAAAATAACTAGACTAGGACGAATTGTCTAGCCGTTTCATGGATCCGACGAGTCATACATGAAATTAGGGTCCGTACGTTACAACAGCTTGTGTTATTTTCTCCTTCTGAGTTGGCAGTCCACTTTAATGACCTGCGGTAATACCAATTTTTATATTAACAGCTCTCTTTAATAATTAATTATATGTACAAAATTAATAGTCCACTTTTAATAAAATTATCTAGTTCTAGTCTTCGGGGAGGATTCAGACCAGCCAAAGCTGCTGACAAAGAAACTAAAGTAGTTTACATGTTACGTATCATAGTTATCACTAGTACGTACTTCCTGTTTCCCTCCGTCCCTTATAACTTTATCAAACTTTCCTTTTTTGAATATCCTATTAACTTTGTCACTTTCCCATTAAAGTAAAAATTTGTGATTCCAATTAATTCTCTCTCCTCTGCACAAACCTCAACCACACAATTTTTACTTTATTAATCCTCGTACCGGTTAAACTTGGCAAAATTATTAGAGACGGAGGGAGTATTATTTATAAATTTTTGTACGCTTAATAATTGTATTGGGGGTCCAAATAGTGTGCATTATCGGTATATACCAAAACTTTGGGTAACACAATGTAGATTATTGGCTAATGTAAAATATACGGAGTACATATTACTTCTTATTTTGTTTGATCAATTTTTCAGGATGATATGAGACAGTTCGATCAATATGGTTTTGATACGGTTCTGGCATGGGTAGTTCTCACTTAAGAACCGGTATTGTATCATATATTCATATTATTTAAAAAATATGGTACAATGCGGTATAATATTATATTTGTCCAATTCATTCAGTTCTAGTACAATTCGGTACGATTTTCGGTACGAAACAAAAAATGTTTGATCCGTGTTCAACCCTAGTTAAATATCTAAAGAGAGAAATCAGTCATGAGTGCACCTACACTTAGGATGTTTTCTTTTGGACTGAAATTTGCTGATTTGGTCTGGCCTGGTCTGATCTAGTCTGGTCTGGTTTGAACTGGTCTGGTCTGGTAAATGCCTGGTCTCTTTGTATTTTATAACTACAAAAGTATGGTCTGATCTGGTCTGATCTGGTCTGGTCTGAAAACCGTTCAAAAGAAAACATCCTTAGCGAACAATAGTACGGAGTAGTAGAGAATCAAGTAAGGGAGTGTTTGCAATAGCTTAAAAAAGCACTTCTCGGCTTTTAGCTTAAAAAAGCACTTATTTATCAAACACTACCAATTTTTACTTTTTCTCGGCTTTTAGCTTAAAAAAGCACTTATTTATCAACTTTTACTTTTCAAAATCACTATTTTCTCAAATACTATCAACTTTTACTACTTATCACGTTTTTCCAATCACTCCAAAAGTGCTTTTTTTAAGCAGAAGCAGTTGCAAACACCCCTAAGTGGATTGGATGCTTTATACTCCGTGTAGTCTATTTATGAAAAGAAAGTATTACTTCATCTATTTTTGAAAGGAAAATAGAAATTACTTTATAATTGTTGTGAAATGAAGAAGATGCAGAACATATTAAAGAGATAGATATAATAATAATAAAAGCTCTAAATTATTTATTCTTAATATATGATAATTTCTGAATAATTTACAAGGCTTCACCAAGCTCCTATTTATAGTGGTTGAGCTTGATGATTAGTCATCTAAAGGATGACTCTACAGATTTGGTGGCAATAACAAATTGAGCCATCTGTTCTAAGTTGGTTACAAGGATTGATGCTAGATTAGTGTCCTGATTACAAGGATGAATAATTCACACCTGTAATTCCCATGATTTTACAATACTCCCCTTGAATGTTCATCCTTGAATAGTTATTTTGTTATTATGAAAAAATTAGTGTGAAAGTTAAGGGGTAAAGATTACGACATATAATGTCGTTGTATTTGGATGTACTGTCTCGTTAAAAACCTTATCAGGAAAAACCCAGTGGGATAAAAACCTGATGAAGGGAAAAAGAGTGCAGTGCATTCAAATACTCCCCCTGAAATTAACATAAATTTTGAAGGCGGCGCATGCCGATTTTCTGTACAAGTTCATCGAACTTCTTCGGGGGTAAAGATTTGGTGAAGAGATCAGCTGGATTTTCACTGGATCTGATTTGCTGAATGTTGATCGTCCCTTCTTTCTCAAGGTCGTGAGTAGAGAAAAATTTTGGAGATATATGCTTCGTTCTATCTCCTTTGATGTAGCCTTCTTTAATTTGAGCTATGCACGCAGTGTTGTCTTCGTAGATCACAGTAGGGTAAACAGTAATAGGCTTCATACCGCATTCATTCTAGATGTGTTGAATCATAGATCGCAGCCATACACATTCTCTTCCGGTTTCATATAGTGCAATTAACTCCGAATGATTTGATGATGTAGCTGTCAACGTCTGTTTCATAGATCTCCACGAGATTGCGGTATTACCATAGGTAAATACGTACCCGGTTTGTGATTTTGCCTTTTGAGGATCTGATAAGTATCCGGCGTCTGCATACCCGATTAAAGAAGCTGTTGCATCTTTGTGGTAGAATAGGCCGAGATCAACTGTACCACGGAGATAACGGAATATGTGTTTGATCCCGTTCCAATGACGTCTTGGTGGACATGAGCTGTACCTAGCTAATAAATTTACAGAAAATGCAATATCTGGTCTAGTATTATTAGCTAAATACATTAAAGCTCCGATAGCACTCAGATATGGTACTTCGGGACCGAGTATATCTTCGTCGTCTTCTCGTGGACGGAATGGATCATCGTGTATGTTGAGAGATCGAATGACCATTAGTGAAGTCAAAGGATGAGCTTTGTCCATATAGAATCTCTTCAACACTTTCTCGGTGTAATTGGATTGGTGGATGAAAATTCCATTCCTCAAATGCTCAATTTGAAGTCCGAGACAAAATTTGGTTCTCCCGAGATCTTTCATTTCAAATTCTTTCATAAGATATTTTGCAGTATTTTCAATTTCATCGGGAGTTCCAATAATGTTTAAGTCATCAACATATACTGCAATTATGGCGAATCCCGAATTTGATCGCCGAATGAAAACATATGGACTAATCGGATCATTCTTATATCCTTCTTTGAGAAGGTATTCACTGAGACGATTATACCACATTCGTCCAGATTGTTTTAGTCCATACAATGACTTTTGTAATTTAATGGAAAACATTTCTCGAGGTTTCGAGCTATAAGTTTCAGGCATTTTAAATCCACCGGGAACTTTCATATAAATGTCTGTATCGAGTGAACCGTATAGATAGGCGGTCACTACATCCATTAGGCGCATTTGCAGCCTTTCAAAAACAGACATGCCAATGAGAAACCTTAATGTAGTTGCATCAACTACTGGAGAATAGGTTTCTTCATAATCGATTCCCGGCATTTGAGAAAAACCTTGGGCAACAAGTCGGGCTTTATATCTAACAATTTCATTTTTCTCATTGCGTTTACGCACAAATACCCATTTAAAACCCACAGGTTTTACACCTTTTGGCGTAGGGACTATCGGTCCAAAAACATCACGTTTCTCAAGTGATTTTAATTCAGCCTGAATAGCTTCATTCCATTTTGGCCAATCATGTCGTTTCCGACATTCTTCAATTGATGTTGGCTCATTGTCATTGTTTTCATTCATTACATTTGTGGCAACGGCATAGACAAATATCTCATTAATATCAATATCTTTTCGATTCCATTGCATTCCAGTAGAAACGTAGTTTATTGAAATTTCATAATTATCAACGTTTCTATCAGTATCTAGAATATCTTCCTCATTTGAGGAAGTTGGATCATTATTTGAGATGTTTGTTCTGTCAATATCATTTTCTATGCCAGTATTTTCAAATTGTTCATTTTCTTGTTCAGAAGGATGAACATCTTTGGCATCACAGATCAATTCCTGCCTTTTAATTTTTCTTGGTTTGATATCTTTTGATCCAAGTGGCCTGCCACGCCTTTTGCGTATAGAAGAATCAATTGCAAGAGATTTTTCAGAATTCTCTGCTGGAATTTTGATTCTGGCAGGAGCATTTATAGCAGGAATATGTGACTTTGTCACTTTCTTTGTGTCTTTGAATGCATCAGGCAACTGATTTGCAATATTTTGTAAATGGATTATCTTTTGCACCTCTTGCTCACATATATTTGATCTAGAATCAAGGTGTGATAATCATGTTGCATTCCATGTTATTTCAATTTGTGCAATTTGATATGGGCACACCTAAAGAAGGAAAGCATAGCTAAAGGGCCAATTGTAGTAGGAGGGGTTATTATGAACTTAGTCACAAAGTTCGGGTATACGGACACCACACCTATACCCGACTATTGTTTAATGAACATCACTTGGTTAGGAAACGCGGGGTGCATATCTTTTTCCCACACGGTGTATGGTGAAGAACGTCCCCGAAACGTGTACAATTGGCTCATACACCCCAAACCTGTAAAACATTACCCCTTGCCCAACCCGGACCTCCCAAAACTTTTGTACAATGTGAGAGATGTGCCCAACTACTATTTCCCACACCTCCTCCCACCACATCTACAAGAACCCCAAGCCGAAGCACACCCTGAGAATGAGCCCGAAGCCAATCATCAGGAACCCGAGGCCATACATGAGCACATCCCCGAACAGCCCCAAGGTCACCTACCTCCCGACTATTTCCAACAACTACTTGATGGTTTCAACAAGGTGACCAACGAAGTTGGACGATATAGGGAGGAACAAAGTGCAGGATTTCGAAGATTAGAAGAACAACGGGCAGAGGATAACCGAAGGTATGAGGAAGACCAACGTAGGTTCTATGGACCTATGTACTCTTACATGGCTCATCAAGGCCAATTTCATACTATGGCTCAGCCACCCCCACCCCCCTCTTGGTATGACCCCACTCAATGGGGTAATTTTGGAGGATCTAGCTCCGGGGGTGGAGGTTTTGATGGAGGGGATGATGGCGGCGACACCCACATGGGCGATGGGAGCTTTGGAGGAGGCTTTGGAAGCGGCTTTGGAGGCAGCTTCTACGGCGGAGAAGGCGGGCACTAGGGACAGTGCTTCAACTAAGTGTGGGGGAGGAGATTACTCATGGTATGTAATTTCATTTTCTACCTTTTACTATGCATGA